ATGGCTCAGTGGATTTGTTTAAATCTTAAAAGATTAAATCATGCAGAAAATTTGAAAAATAAGTGGAATTGACCCTTAACATCTATACTAGTCACTCATGAAATGAACTTATGATAATTTATTAGAGTTCATCTTACCTTTGCCTATGTTCTGCTTTAGTTCAGAGTAGACAGTGTCAGTATCTGCAGTGGTCTTTCCTAACAGTGGACAAGAGTCACTGAATTAGCCACCACTAAAAGTAAGAAGGTATTTCACATTACATTTGAAAGCATTTGATCTGTTACAAAAATGTCATACTATACAGCATAATTCTGATAATAGTATCTACAGATATTTCCTTGTGATCTCACCTTCAAGTGAACAGTTCCAGTCTCGTTTTTTCTTTGAATTCCTCTTTGGTTTCAGCTTAATTTCAGCATAAGTCACGTCACTGAGTTCAGCTCCAGCATCTAAGAGAGAACAGAAGCTGATTTCTTTCCACTTTCTCATTCTACTACAACAGTCCTTTAACTCAAAACACAGTCCTCGACCAATCACATGCTGCAGTTTTTCACCAATCACAAGCTACAGTCCACAACAACACATAACTGAGTTCATTTTACAGAGATTAAAAAACATTACTCAGATTCAGTCTCTCTACTGATGTTTGTGTTCATAAGTCACCCTCACATCTCTCTAGACTAAACCATAACCTTAACATAAACCCCAAATGTAAAGCTAACCTTGAAGGCCTGTGGTCACTTGCATAAAACATCTTCTTTGAATTTTACCTTTAAGTTTTCCCTTTAACTTCAGTAAGCTGTGTAAACTCTCTTCAGGGAAATTCCTGACCCTAAACCTAACACTGCTGAGTTTAAGCAGGTCATTTGTTAAGAATTAGAGCATGTGTGATTATTATTATTATTATTATTGTTATTATTATTATTATTATTATTATTATTATCATTATTATTACACTCTGAGATTTTACAACTGCAAGGGTGTCCAAATCTTTGCACATGCCACAATTCTTAGTTTAATTTTATTGTCTCTTTTTTTTACATTAATCAAATATAAAGTAGCTGTGAATTGACGTTTGTGGAAAATGTTATTTTGTAAAATATTTTACTGCCATGGTCATGTTTACTTCTTTTTAAAAAATCAACAAATTATTTAATTCAGCCAAAGTTGCCCACATTTATGCAAACAACTGTTGAACCCTGCAGTACCTCTGACATCCACAAGGCAATTAAAGAGAAAATATATCTCTGTTACTGTAAAGATGCAGTTCTTACTGTTTCCTTTGAGCTTCTTTTTAGTCACAATCTGAGCGTAAGTTACATCACTGGGCTGAGCTGCAGATTCATCTGGAACAGAAGAAGTTACTCATCAGAGACGCACTGTGTTCTCACATCATCAAAGATATCTCACTTAAAAACAAGTATTAATGAACAAGAGATGAATTATAGCTGGATTCCTGTTAAATATGAAATCAATAATCCATAAATGTGATCACTACTTATTACAGCGTAAATAAGATCTTTTAGTGAAACAGTGTAACTATTGTAAAAGCTTAATGCTAGTGATTATGTTGGTGATGCAAACTGACCATCCTGCAGGGTTGTGGTTCCTGAAAAAGACCCCCCAGACCCTGACAGACTCTGGCTTTGATTGGTGTTCTGCTGATTTCCAGTAGAGGGAGACAGAGATCCTGCAGCTCCACAGTGAAAGTAAAAACACAGCTTACATGCTTTTTCACTTACATGCATTTGTTGAAGCTAAAATACATCTTTGAATAAGAGATTTAAACTATACTTTTATATCAGCTACAGTACAAACAGCACAGCTCACAGAAATCTGTCTTTACTCAGCTGCATAAACTGATACAGGACAGACAAAGTGTGTTTTAAAACCTTTGCTCTTCTTATAGTAGCACATCAGGCCCAGCATGATAATGAGGAACAAGGTTAAACTCAGTCCCACTGACACTCCGACTGTTCCAGATCCAGATCCAGAAACTGAAGCTAAAGAAAGAAAGAGATTTTGTATTTATGTTGATGTAAAACCCCAATCCCAAACAAAGCTGGGACGCTGTGTAAAATGTAAATAAATGTAAATAAAACAGAATGCAATGACTTGCAAATATCATAGACACGTTTTTTTATTCACAATAGGACACAGAGCACATATTAGATGTTGAAAGTGAGACATTTTACCATTTAATGAAAAATATTAACTCATAGAACTTGATGGCAGCAACGCATCTCAAAAAGTTGTGACAGGTCCAGAACCTTGGACTGTTGAGCAGCTAGAATGAACAGAAATGCTTCAAATTTGTTTGGAATACAATCTCTTTACATTAACTTCATTATGATCATTTACATGGTGATAAAAAGTACAGAATGTTTTTTTCCTTGTCCTGTAATGTTACTGTTTTGGAGATGCTTGTTTTTCTTTGGACAGCAACGATATATTTAACAGAAAATTAAACAGAAGCCACAGCAACAAAATATAATATCATATTTTTAAGTATGTCCACTCTTTACCTTTATTACAGATTCCATTGTTTTCAGCAGACTTGCTTTCAGTTTTTTAAGAAATCTGCAGGAATAGCTTTCCACACATCTAAAGTTCAGTCTTAGAACTTGGTTGAGTTTTCTACTTCTTGTGATCCAAGTAATCTCAAACACATTCAGTGATGTTGAGGTCTCGGCTGTAAGGTTGACAGTCTGAGACCACCAGCAGCTTCTTTATTTGATAAGTACATCTTTATCTACTCAGCTGTGTGTTAGGGGTTGTTATCTTGCTGTAGAATGACTTTCTTCCCAGTCAGACATTTTCCAGAGGGTACTGTATGATGTATTAAAAATTACTGCCTTCTGTTACTTCCAAAGGTCTCAGATTTAAACAGTCCATGAACCCTTACTGCACACCTCTGATGTCCAGTTTTGGTAATCTAGTGCAAACTTTCCTCTTTATCTATTTCCTTTTCTCAGTAATAGCTTCTTAAATTACTCTTGCAGCTACACATCCTTGAGTTTCTTCTCACAGTGGAATGATGGAGAGAAACACCTATGGATTTTTTCAGATTTGAAGCTTGATGTTCTCTTCTCTCTCAAAGATGAAAGTGTTGTTTATCTGATGGGGACAGTTTTGCTGGTCTACCAAGTATTGCACAGTTGTTAAGAGTCATTTTCTCTGTATCTTTTTATCACTTTTTAAACTCTAGTTTTGTAAACTCATATATATTTTAAACCATCCCTACTAATGACTTTAATTAGAACTAAACAGTCTGCAGTATTGAGAAATGAATTTATATAGTAAACTGCATCCAACGTTCTTTAGATACATTGATTCAAATAAATGAACTGCAGCCTCTTGAACTTCTGCAGTATTCAGACTTTCATGTTTCACAATTTTTAAAGCCACTCAAAAGCTGTTTATTTATGAAATACATATACATTAATAAAAACAATTCAATAGTAGATAAATTGCGAGCTGCTGCTCATAACTGTTTGAGTGTCAGAATGCATTATGACTGACAGCGGTGTCTCCCTGGCAACGTCAACAAACTGTTGCCAGTGACAGTGATGCCACCAATAATGCAGGCTGGATCAGTGTTGTTCAGCCCTACACATATGATTTTGAAGAACAAGAGCCCCCATGCATGAAAATAGACCACTTCACTCTAATTAACAGCTCTTTATATGATGAATAAAAAAGTGCAAAAGGGAACACAAGCTGTTCATCTTAGAGATCTCATTACATCATTGACAGGTAGATCACGGATATATTGTCTCCGCCATTTGATTGCTCAGCAGCACTAACGTTATATCTGTAACCTATAGCTATCTGGCAAACCGCTGGACTGTGCTCCTAAAACTGAGGTCACACAATCTTCTGTTATGAGTCAATGTCATATTTACAGACACTGGGAAAAAAATTCTCAGGTGCCTTATTGTGTGCCTCATTTACTGGGAAACTTTGTGAGCCTTCATGTTGGGCAGCGCTCTACACCCTCAGAGAGGGCCTAAGATACTCTAAAAATAATATTTTAAAATTGAATAGTTTTAATTTTATCTGATCATATTTTGACAAATCTAAGCAAATAAATCCTTCAAACCTGTCTATTTCACCTTGAATGTGAAAAGTTTAATTAAAGAAGCTCCTTTGTCTCCCTATCAGAATTTTGCCATATCTGCTGTTGCTGGAAATAATGTTGGTGATTGGTGGCCCAGCTATGAATTTACAAAGGGCCAAACAATAGTAATTCAATGAGAGACCAATTTGAAATGACAGTAAAATGACAAATCATATCTTCCCTCTAAATGGGTGGGCTTTGTTATCACTAACTTTATGACAAGCCCCACACCCTGTGGGGACGTACAAGCTCTGGGAACACGAGGCTAGTGAAAAACGCTAGCTAGCTTGTTGGTCCATGATGAAAGCTGAGAGTAATTTTACTGCTAGTGAGGAGGACATCGCTGCAAATTTACTATCTAGCTGTTTTCTAGATAAACCTTTAATGAAAAGTTGGAGTTACAACAATGGCAGAAAAAAGTAATGAAAAAACCTCTTTAACATCATCATGTATCAGCAGATAATAATAATAAAACAATAATAAATTTCACTCCTCCTCCCACCATCCACACCCATGATTAATTGAAATGCTCAGCTACCTCACAGACCATCTCTGACATCATTTTTCACTCAGAAATCACAGAAGATGAATGTGCTGTGACTCAGATTCACATTGACTTTAAGTCCATGTAGTTCTGTAAATATAAATTGTAGGATATTTTATCTACTGAGGATGTTTGTAACTAGTTTACTAATTGCATTATATTTATTTCATGACAGGTACCAGAAAAAACACAAAATTATACTGTAGTACAAGATTTTTCAATATTTATAGTTACTCAATTTGCTTGTTTTCAGTCTTTTCTGAAATAAATTATTTCAGAAAATAAATCTCTGGATTTTTAATGAGAGAAATAAAGTGAGAAAGACGCCACACTCACCTGATACAGTCAGTGTAACAGCTTCACTGGTGTGTGTGTATATTCGGTCTGTTGACTGTGTTCCCTTACAGGTATAAACACCTGCATGAGACTGATCAACATTAGAGATTTCATATTTCTTCCTTTGAGCATCTCTGAGAAGATTATTATTCTTATACCATTCATAATTCCAGTAATCTCCACTTTCTATTTCACATGTCAGAGTGACTCTCTCTCTGATGAACACATGATCAGCTGGCTGGACTTTCACTGTAGCTTTTGGTCTCTCTGTTCAAAGAAGATAAATACTTTTAAAATGCATATTTTATATATTTTATATAAAATGTATACTAACAAGATTGATCTATTTATTTTAAAACATTATGGGATATTGTGGGATTTGAATTCAAATGTAAAAAAAAAGAAAAACATGTCATACCTCTCACTGTAATCCTGACAGGATCACTGTCCACTGACTGATAGTTTCCCATCTGTGCTATACACCTATACTCTGCTTCTCCTGGATGAGACACTGTTATACTGTATGTTTTCAGATGATGACTTGGTTGTACATACTCAGAGTCTTTCTTCCAGAAAAAGTTCCAGTCAGTAGACTGATACGGCGGCGCACAGCTCAGAGTAACTGTGTCTCCAGTATAGACTGAGCTCTTAGGATCCACACACAGTCTGGGTTTATCTGTTGATATAAAATGATGAAGTCAGCAGATCTGCTTTACTCTTTATAATATAAGAAATAGTTCAGTTTTGGGACTATTAAGTTTAGTAATGCTTCTGTGTTCTACGACTGGTTTTATTTAGTTCAGGGTTATGACAGTTCACTAAACTATCATTAAAATGAAAACTTTCAGTGAAAAAATCTGCTCGTTAACTTTTATAAGAATAAAAATGTCAATTTTCAAAAACACAAAAACTAAAGGAAAACTATAATGTCCCCAGCACAATTAACTAAAATGAAATAGAATTACTGAGAATAAACTTTTAGTTTTTATCAGCGCAGGAATGAGAGTTTAGAGGTGAATCTCTTCTGTGTTTGGTCTATAAGGAAAGCTGGAGCTGAGCTGAGCTCAATCTACTGTGTGTTAATTTAATTCTACCCTCATCAAATACCTGCTATCACAGTGTTTATCATAATACTAAAAACTAAAACTAAAACTGAGACTAAATAAAAACTCAACTAAAACTCTTACTTTTCAGAAAATAAAAACAAAACTAAAAATATTAATGCATGCTTAAAATGAACTGAATCTAAAATAAAACTGTAATAAATTATTTTGAGCTCTTTTGTACAGTTCCATAACCTGTATATTCTATATTGCAGAAATGTGACCCACTTAACACAGTCAGTAAATCACTCTGTTAAGCATGTGCAGAACACAGAGTTCTGTTTTCTCATTTTCTTTATATATATTTTTTTCACCACTGATTCTGGTTTATGTGATTTTGATACTGTAAACGGGAATTATGGATTCAAACCCATCTGGAGAGTCTTCATTACAATTACCGTTCAATATAGCATAAAAACTGTGACCCGGTTTTCCTCATGATTCTGTATTATTTTTAAGATTTGCTGCATGTCTTTCCAAATTGCAGTGACCCGTAAGGAGTTTAAGCCAATGCTTTATTGAAATAATGGTTCTGTCTTCCTAGTTCAGGGTAACTTTTTTGGCAGTGGTAAATGATGTTAATGTAAAGGATTTTTTACCGAGAATGAAGAGAGATCATTAATTAGTGCTACATTGGGACAGAAAAGGATGAAGGCCAGAATCTCTGATAGCCTGTCCATGACCTCCAACCAAAACTGCTGGGTAGGGGGACAAATCCAGAAAATATGATAGTAATTGTCTGTTAAAGATGGGTGATGTAGCCTTGAATCAGTGTGGCTAAATCCCATATGGTGTAGTTTAGGGGCTGTAATGTCTGTTCGATAAGGGGTTTAAATTGTATTAACTGCAATTTTGAATTGCTGGTCATAGAGAAGATGTCACTGCTTATCTTTTGCCAGTTGAGATTACATGTTATTATTACATGTTATTAGATTACAATAGTGCTGTCATTAAATGCTCTGAGTTTAATGCTTTGAGTTTAAAGTCTAATGTAAAGCAGTTGATAGAAAATAGTAATAGAAATGTGAAGATACATGTCCTCCAAGATGTTTAGGATTTTGGAGGGTGGCTAATTTGATTCAAGGCTTTTGGTGTGTCCAATAGAACTTTAGCGATTACACTGTCAAGAGAGGAGAACCGGTTGGACGGTGGGGTAACAGGGGTCATAAAGAGCAAGCAAGTGTGATAAAAGTGGTATTCATATGATGAGTTACGAATGCATTTTGAAAGAGGGGTGAAGTAAGAGGCCAGAATAGTAAAATTTGCTGGGTAGCCATCAGGTCCTGGTCATTTAAGATTAGGCATTACAAAGAGGGCTTTGGTCATTTCTTCAGAGGAAAGATGTTGTTTTTAGTTTAGTTAGAGAAATACAACTCAGGAATGCTTCAGTTTCTTCCAGTGAGGGTTTCTTTTCTGAAGTGTAGAGATTGGAGTAGAAAAATCATAATACATCAATACCTGAACTGATTTCACAAGAGTAATCAAAGATTACGGTTATTATTGACCTCTTTATTTTCTGCTCTAATTGATTCGCTAACATTTTTCCATTTTTATTTCCAAATTCAAATTGCTGTTTTGTAGGTCTAAGCATGGACTATTCAGTCTTCTTGTGCACTATATTATTAATTTTATATTTGGTTTTCAGAGGTTCTTTAAAAAATTGAGTCAACAGGCATCAGAGAGGCCAGTAGGTCTAATCTCTGCACCTCATTCTGCAGCTTTTGTTTCTTTGCTATTTCTAGGGTTTGATATTCTGCTAGAAAGGTAATGCTGATTGAGGTGCGAGCTGGTATAATACTATTAATACCTGAATGAGTGAATGATGTGTAATGAAACTGTCTATGAGGGAGAATGATTTGTGATGAGGGGCATAATATGAATATTCTTTGCTACTGGGGTTCTGCAAAGTCTAGATATCCACCAGTATATAATTGGGCATGTACTGTTAGAGCAAAGTTGCTGAATGATTATTTTTGTTACTTTGTGCTGGAGATGAACAATCTAAGCTGGAGGTCAGAACTATATTGAAATCACCACTGAGTATAAGAAATAAGTCAGAAAAAATAGATGTGTTTAAGAAGAGTGAACGAAAGCTGGAGAATGTTTGGGCCCAGAATGTTTACTAAAGTAAAGTTATCTTTCCCAGGGGTGGTACTGATAATAATGTAGCGGCCCTGTGGTTCAGTCAGTATTGAATTGAAAAAAAATAACAACAAAAGTCATACAAGTCGTTGATCCAAATGGTTATACAATCGATAACCTCCTTAAAAAGTAGTCTCATCAACTCACAATTGGAGATAGATCTGCCTCTGTGTCTAGTTTGATACGTTAAAGACAATAGCAAATGACATCAAGAGCGTTCGAATCACTACTAATAAATGTTCTGCTAAAATGAAGTATCTAAACAATCAATCATGCAGAAACAACAAATAATAGACTTTACATTCTAAATCAGAGACTTGGCAGGAGTTGGCAACTAAGGTGAAAAAGTTACTCGCTGATCACCTTAAATGGACCTAAAACTGGTGGAATTTGAAAGGATGCACTGCATTGGCAAATGTGACAGTAGTCGCCCAAGAGCAATTGTTGTAAAGCTCTTGCGTTACAAAGACAAGGAGGAAATACTAAAAGTGTCTAAAACACTCAAAGGCACTAACATCTACATCACCGTAGACTTTTCTGAAGCTATACAATAGAAAAGAAAGTAACTATTACACCCAGCTGTATGAAGCACATCAGCAGGGAAATATTGCATTTTTCAGACAAGTCTATTAATGATGCAAATAGAAACTGCAGATAAATCTTTCACAAACCTGTGTAAAAAAAAAAATAAAAATACAATAAGCCTGCACAACTCGTTTTCCATGTTCCATTTACACAAATGTAGTCTTGCAAAGCACTGTGACTCTTTGCTGCATTATCTCACTATTTCTTATACAGTTTACTATTATGGGCCTCTCTGAAACTTGGTTGAATAATCATAAAGCTTCAATTTGTCATTTTCCTGAAAATCCTTAAGCTCTTGCATATTTCCTGACGAATTGAAATGGGCAAATGTTATCCCATTACATAAATCAGATGACTCAACAATATTATAATTATAGGCTGATATCTATTCTTCCATGTATTGTCGAAGTTTATGAAAAACTCGTCTACAACCAACACATCTGTTATTTTAAAACATACAAACTATTACATCGCAGTGTGTTTTCTGGGAAAAACATTCTACCTCTATGGCTCTAGTTCAGCTACTTAAGAAAATTTCTAGTGCATTTGATGAACATAAAATAACCGTAGGAGTCTTTATTGCCTTATTCAAGGTATTCGACAGTATCCTGCTACAGAAGTTACAACACTGTGGCATTTAAAATGTGGAGTTAGAATGGTTCAGAAGCTCTTTATCAAATAGAGAACAGTGTGTCTTATGGTATGTGGCAGAAATCCTGCTCCAGTCTAAAGAATATAGATTGTGGAATTCCTCAAGATTCAGTTATCTGTTAATACATGTTCACGGTCTTTACTTGGCAGCAAAGAGCGTGTTCTTTATTTTGTTTGCTGATGAAACCAATATTTTTCTTTTTTGCATTTTTTTGTTTGCAAGTTTTTAACTAATACTTCTGGATTGTCTGCTTCATTTTACTGAATTCCATAAAAGATAAGATTGTCTCTCTTGCTTCTAGTCTGAATGTCAAAAACAGTTTTCTTCATTTCTTTGTTTTCTTTTCTGATGAGCTCAACTTGCAAGGTAAGTGACATCACAGAGCTTTGAAGTTCATTTTTATTTTGTTAAAGGTTGTTTATCTGTTCTTGAGTAAATTCTGAACTTGTTTGAAGATCTTTTATATCTGGTGCAGTGTTCAACATCCATCTCTAATTTTTTATTGATTGATGTCAATACACTGATCTGTATTTCTATGGTGTCTAAATCGTCTGTGTCCGTGGAAGGTTTTCCTCTGCAT